GTAGACAGCATAATGCCCAGGAAGGACTCAGCACACATGATCTTTGTGGTGACTAAAACATTGGTTTTGTTGCTCTGTGCAAGGATAAGGCCTGGGTTAGCTGGAGGAATGGCCTCTCCCTTAAGAGAGTCTAAGCAGTTCTTTCTGCTGGTTGATCTGGGTTGCACAGCAGACAGTGCAGTAGAAATCCCTGGCAGAGGTGTCCTCATTTCCCATTCCCATCTTATCCTGCCTCCCAAGGTCTCCATTCTGTGCCTGCCACTTCCCTCATCCTGTTCTGGTGAAGGTTGCCCGTGACCTAATGTACACTGAGTATTTCTAACATGCACACCCAGGGCTAATTGCCCATCATTGTCTTAGACACTCTGCAGTCTCCCCTGTAATTTTCTGTCCCATATTTGTCTTGTTGCCCTCTTTGTGAATCTGAGGAGTTCTTCTGCCGTTAGCTCACGACCCTCCTTACTCCTGTCTGATCTCACTGTCCTGTGCTTTTAACCCCAAATCTATGTCAATCCTCCATGGGGATCAGATGCCTTTGTCCAGCCAGCTACTGAGCCTCTCCCTGGGGTATGTCCAGAGGACACCTCAAGCTAATAAATACAATAGATCTCAAATCGTTTTTGTTGGTCTGTCTATGCCTTCTGCTCTTGCCCCTATTTGTTCATTGAGGCAGCCTATGAGCCTGTCCAGAAAAGTGGGATCCTTCTAAGCTCTTCCATTTGCTGTTGTCACAGGCAGTTGCTAAAGTTTGCTGGTGTTATATTCAAAGTTATCCTTTCCCCTTACTCTCTCCTTGTCACCATTATTACAGTTTTGGGGGTTGATTTTGTTTCTTTGGACTCCTGCAGAAACTCCCATTCTCTACTACTTCTTTCCTTCACTGGCTCAAGTGCATGGTCTGCCTTGAGTATTTCTCCTAAAACCATATTTTGATCATGCTGCCCCCATGTGGAAAGCTCTTCAGAGGCTCCCTGAGTGACCAAGAAAACTAGGTTATAATTAAACTGGGAGTGGGAGATGGTGAAAAATCAAATTTAAGAAAAAGCCAGAATTGGGTTTTAGCCATTTTGAATCGGC